CGGCAAACTCCTCCAGAAGTTGTTGCTCCGACTTCCGGTTCAGCTCCTCGGCCCTGATCCTGTCTAGCTCCTGGGTTAGGGCTAGACAGCTCTCCTCGGAGCCCACTGCCCTCTCTTCCGAGGAAGAGAGCCGTTGCGTTTGCTCAGTAATTCTCCTCTCAGCATCGGCAAGTGCGGCACTTAGCTTCTCAGCGCCCAACTTGGCCGATTCAGCGTCCTTGAGGAGCTGCTCTATTTGGGCAGCCTGCCCCACCAGGGTAGAATCCCTGGCAGCAACATCTTCCGTTGCCCGAGCAAGGGCGGCTTCCGCTTCTGCCTTCTGATCCTTGGCCCTCTGAAGGTCCATCCTGGACGCGTGGTACCGGCCAGCTATGATAGAAATCTGCTGGGCAGCCTGTAAAAGAAGGAAAGAATGTTAAAGCACAAAAGTAGAAAACAAGAGTGAAGGGATCGAAACGGGAATAAACTCACCACCAGGGAGTTCTGGATCATGGAGCGGAACAACACGTTGGTTGATCGCCCCCGATGAGCCTCCATGTCAGCCTCAAAATGCAATGTCTCACTCACTGCATAGGCGACATGGGGATCCCGCAGAATGGAATCATCGACCCTGATCACTCGGTTCATGTGATCAGTAGCCCGAGGATTCCACACCGCGGCCTCCACTGTGGATGGGAGGGAAGGAGTAGCCTGTTGCTGTTGCTGCTGCTGCTGCTGCTGCTGCTGTTGTCGGGGCTGCTGTAGTTGCTGCTGTTGTCGAGTTTGCTGCTGCGGTTGCTGCGGTTGTGAGGGAGTAGAGGGTAATCCACGATCCCTCCCGCTTTGCTGCTGAGCGGGAGGCACCCTGGGTCCTCGGCTGAGGCCATCGTGCCGATGCTTCACCCTCCTCTCCTCCTCCACCTGAGGGTCCCGATCTCGCACCTGACCCCGATCAGGAACCCTTGATGATGGGGCAGAGCTGGTTCCTGCCGGAGTGCCGCCGGTCGCCCCTCGGCCTCTCCCGGCTGCGAGGGATTGCCTCTGCCTAAGAAACCCCAAATTGATGCGTGGGGTGTTGGACATCGCTTCCTCAAGAGCGTCTTCGGCGTCCAAGGTTTGGAGAATTTAAAAATCCGGCCACAGGTCGCCTCCCGAAGTCCCCACCTCGGCGTCCGAAGGAGCAACGTCCTCTCTGACCCCGATCTCAGCGACTCCTTCTACCTCTCCCTCTGAAGCCCGATCCGGGTCTTCCTCCAAGTTCTGCTCGACCTCTAACCTCGCCGCCTGATCAAAGAGCTCTGACCACTGTGAAGGCTCGAAAGGTTGAGGGAGCTGTGAGAACTTCTTATACCCGGGGGTATAATGCAGCAAATTATGGGCAGCTCGGCCAAATCCGTCGGCACCCGTGAAACTCCAAACCGTTGTTAAGTCGCCAAAATTGACCAGCGACCGAGGGGGTGGAGCTGTTTCCCGAGAAGGAATACCTGCACAACAAAAAAGATTGTCATAAACATGAGAAGTCCCAAGAAACAAATAAAAATACCCAAAGGAACCGACGTACTTGTCGTTCTCCATTCCCGAGGGCAAAATAGGTCATTGTACTCGGGACCGATACCCCTCTCCCAACATCCCTTGAAGATCAAGATGTCGTCCTTGTACCCCTTGTCCGAGTCAGGAAGATGGGTTACAAGGTACATAGAGGGGTCCCTGGCTTTGAGGTAGAAATGTTGGTGGGGCATGACTCTTAGGAGAGAGTAACAGAAAAGGAGGTCGTTGAGCCCAATATTCACCCCGAGGCGCCTATTGAGCTCTAGGACCCCCATAATTATCCGAAAGACGTTGAGGCAACATTGCCCGGGGAAGAGACGGAAGCGAGACAGGAACTGAAGAAGCAGGGGGGGTAAAGGAAACCTAATGCCACCCTCTATGATGGCCTTGGTGTAGAAAGGCATGGCATCCGTGGCCCCGAAGGTAGGAGAGTACAACAAAGGGTTAAAACCCACTACGTCCACGCTCGGAGGGATGCCATACTTCGCCCTGAACCTATCGATCTGTGCCTCGCCCGTCACCTTGTATTTCCCTGACCCCGAGGGACCAGCCGATGGATTCTCGGGAACAGGGCGACGACGAGGCATCTCTAAAAAGAAAGGGGAGGAAAAGGTGTTCTCTCTTGAAAACCTGAGGAAGTTCCCCGAGGGTTTAAATCAAGAGGTACCGACCGGATGACACCACCGCTCAAATCGGAGAACAAGAAGGCCAGGAAGACGATAAAGAAGAAGGTTGTGAAACTCACCAGAAGACGTCGGAAACGGAGTTTTTCAGGAAAAAACTTTGAAAACAACTCGCACCGGAAGGACCAGGAGTCAACAATGGGTATACTGACTGTGATTTTTAAGAGAAGATGCTGTCGATGATGGCTGAGAAAACACAAAACTCCGGCGAGCAGATCGGAAAAGGCGTATTCTGGCTCAGAGATCGGAATGGCAAAATGATAGAAACCGGAGAAGAACCCCCTTTATATAGGGGGGAAACTGTCATCATTGGGCGGGAGAACCAAAAACAGCGCATTTAATGCGCACGACATCCCAAGACGGGGAAAGCTGCTCGAGGCCATAATGAAGGACGGATGGCAGTTGGAAAAACCCTTCGTCTCCTGACAACGCGTGTCCTCGGTGTCAGAAGATCGAAGGCTGGGGGGCAGTTGATGGGACTCTTTTGAAAAACCTACGATGAAGACACGTGTCCTCGGGGTTTTAGAACAATGTTGCTCGGGTTCGAGCACCATCAGCAAGGCGTCCTCTCCCCGAGGTACCTCTCATATAGGATCACATATTCGGCACAGTATACAAAGACATGTGTCCTCGGTCACCATGTACCTCGGGGAACACACCACCCCTTGGTCCCCCGAGGTGAGCCTTTCCTCGGCACCGAGGGTCACTCCATCCTGGACGCTTCCCCTACTCCCGGAAAAAGCTACTGACAAAACTGGACATCAGCCTATGCCAGTATGGACTAGTCATCATGAGCTCTTCTTGTACAAGTAATGTCAGAACGTGCTGGAATACCGACGTAACAGCCAATAAGGGATGGACGTGTGGCAAATAATGTCACATCCGAAGCAGACAAACCGCATGCCGCTGCTGGCACGCGACTTGGGAAAGCAAACAATTAATTACACCCTTCTGTTGACGAGACCGCATTTAATGCGGTAAGGTTCGGATATGAAAGGCAATAAATGCTCCTATTACAGAGCATTTATTGCATCCTTCCCGAAAGGAGCATATTGTACCGTCGGCGTCCCGACGACTCACCATTAATTGCTCGGGACCCCGAGCAGTCAATTAGAGAAGACATTTCTCATCAAATGATTACACACGCTACCTGTGCCTGATGATCACCTACTGACCACACTGACAGCAATCATGATCTTCTAAGGTATAAATACCCCTCCCAAAAACAAAGCGGGTATGCAATCACAAACTCTCTACTACGAAATATCCTTCTCAGTGTTTTCTCCTTCCTCTCTCTCATTCAAAGACTGACTAGACCGTCGGAGGGGATACGCCGGAAAACACTCCGGCGCCCTTCTAACTTGTTCTCTTTTGTCCCAGGAAATACCTTTCGCACGTACAGGATCGTTCCTACTTTCCCAGGATCGTAAGCAGTTTCGAGCAGTGTGCTTGGCCACTCAATCGGCTCACCCAAAGTTCACCAGGGGAGAGATCTGTTCCCAATATTTTATATATATCGTGCAGGATCAAGCCCGCACAGAACTCTAGAGGATGGTTCAGTCTAGGTGTTGATCTGGGTATGTCCTGCACTGGCCTCACACATAGCAAGGGCTGCTCTGTTCGACCGTTGACAATACGTATATATTTATAGCTGCCACAATTACTCTCTCTATTTCTCTCTCTCTCTCTCACACACACAGACGCGTATATATTTATATAGAGATAGGTTTTTTTGTCTATGTAGTGACTATTAAATTAACAAAATAGAAAACTCATGTTCATGTTGAGAACTGCATACTGAAAAAGAAAGTGGTTATGGGGTTTGAGTGATTTCGTAATTGTAGATGTGAGTTCAGATTGATTTAATCACTCATAATAATTGATTGGCAATGGGTCTTAGTATTTGTTTGCGGTGTTATTCTATTTTAAAGAGACTGATTTTTTGACTCGAACTCTCATCGTATTGATTGAACAAGTGAGCACTTATCCTCGCCTTTGACAGAATTTTGCGTTAATCTGAATTATGTGTATGAGTAATGCTACTTGAATTTAATTTGTTGATCTAATCCCTCACAATAATTGATTGACAATGGTCCTAATATTTGTTTAGATCTGCTATCAATTTAATAATTGTGATTAATTATGTCAACAAATTAGGTTTCAATAAATAGTATTTAGGATATTTTTCATTATTTTGTAATAGAAAAAATGTTTGACAAAAATAAGTGGTTGTTCCGATTTAAAGAGTTGAAGGGTAAAATAAAAGAAATAAAAAGTATAAAAGGTACATTTAAACTAGTACAAAAATTCAGGGGTATCTATAATATTTACTCAAACTTTTAGATACTGAAACGGTCTCGTCTCGCTGTTAATTATCCTCTCCCTTCGGGTCAGATACAGAAACGCAGAAGCAGCAGAAGTATGTATATGAACTGTTGGTCTGGGGGAGAGAGAGAGTCTCTGAATGAATGGCTTTGCAATCAGTACAGCCCATATCACCAATTTCGCTGACTCTCCTTCCAAAGGGCTCTATTGCTCCTATTTTGCTTCGATTATCTTCATCAATCCGTTGCTATTGTGTTCGTACAACATTGGCTGTGTCATTGGATGAAATTCCCCCAAATGCCCTTCGCCGGAAGTGTGACCGGAACTGGAGAGGAGGGTGCAGTCTAGGGGTAGATCTGTGCATGTCCCGAACTGGCCTTGCACTCAGCAAGGGCTTCTCTGTTCGACCCTTGACGGTGCGTATATGTTTATAACTGCCACAATTACTGTCTCTATCTCTCTCAGACACACATTGCGCCCTCTAATGAGCTGATTGAGTTAGGTTCTGGAGTTGAGAGGGCAAAAGCTTGAGCTTCGACTTATTGACATTGCTGAGAAGCAGGTACAGGACCCTCTCTCTCTCACTCACCTGCACACACAGACATAGATATTGATATAGAGATAGGTTTAATGTCTTAAGTGGCTGTAATGTAAGAGAGATAGAAAACCCCATATGGGGTTTGAGTGATTTCGTAATTGTGGG